AAGTTTTGGTGATCAATAGTTTATATTGATTAGTAAGAAAAAGGTGAAGTTTGGTCAGATTAATAATAATTTGAAATTATTTCTTGATAAAGTAAAGAGAAATAAAAAGATAGAAGTTAAATATTTTTGGGTAGTTAGAGTGTTCAAAAAAACAGTAGTAATTACTAAAAGTGATCTTTTAAAAGTTTCAAGAATAATTTCAAAGAGAATATCTATAGATTTAGTAACTTGAGAGTTTTGGTTTAAAATAAAGTCTATAATAAATTTAGGTTTTTGAAGAACTATTGTATAAATTAGAAGGTTAAAGTTATTCTTAAGAACTAGTTTATCATCTGTTTCAGTCTAGATAATTGAACCCAAGTAAAAGTCTTTAAAAAAGGCTTTAAGAAGTTTATTGTTTGAATTATTAATTAAGTACATAGAAAAAAGCTATTTGTTATTGGGACTAGGAAGTGTTTGAACCAATCAAGAGGTTGTTTCAGGTTTGTGTTAGAGAAGTCACTGCCAGAGAGCTAGTAAATAACAAGCTGGTGGTGAGAAAATCAGCATTGAAATATATTTGGTTGAGACATATTGTAAGATAATAGATAAAATTTAATAAGTGAGTAGTATAAATTTTTCCTAACTAGAATAGTAAATTTTGAAGTATTTAGTTTAAAATTTTTGTAGTATATATAATTTAATATAAAAATAAGTTTGCTTAGAATACTAAGAGAGATTGTCTTAGTAGGTTTTTGAGTTATAGTATAGTTTTTGTTAAGTAACTTTAAAAATAAGATTTAATTATATGTGACATTTTGTTGATTTTCTTGATAAGTCTAGAAGATACCAATTTAAAATTTGAATATTGTATATATTTTAGTCTCAAGATCAAATTTACTTAGAGTATCAAATAAGGTTTACTTAGTAGAATATAAAGATATAGTTGATTTTTGTTAGATAGATTTTAGACATATAAAGAAAAGTTTGTTGAAAGTTAGTTTATTTTTAAGTGAATTTAGAAGATATTAACTTGAAGTTTTAATATAAAGTGTATTTTTATATTAGAAATAAGTTTACTTATATTTTTTGTTAAGAGTATAGTATATATGTAGTGAAATTTTAGAAAGACCAATGAGTTTTCCAAAAAAATCTAGTAAGTTTTTCAAGTTTTGTGAATAAATTTTTGAAATTTGTTAGGTTTTAAAAAATTTTAATGGGTGCACAAAAGTGAAATTTCTAGGTCAAGCCAGTAGGATTTCAGAAAATTGCTAGTAAATTTTTAGAACTAAAAGTATATTTTTTGGCAAAAGAGTTTGAAGTTTTCTTGATATAAAATTGTCAAATTTGGTCTGTTTGTAATGTATTATATACTAAAATATTCTTCTTGATAAGTAGAACAAATTTGGGAGAACTAAGGTTTACTTAGTACAATTTAGAATAAATAGTAAGAGAAGAGATAAAAAAGTTTTAGCTATAGTTTCATAAATTGGAGTTCATTTGTAATATATTATATGGGCGATCAAAAGTAGAAACTGCCAAATTTGGTAAATCATTAATTTTGAAATAATTGGATAAACATAACTTTGTTATACAAAATAAATCTAGTCTAAAAATAGCACAATCTGGTTATTAACTTGTTTTAAACAAAATTATGATATGTAATTTAAATTTCTATACACGAACTAAAATTATTTGCAAATGTTTAATTGTTTTAAGTAATTTTTAATTTTTTTAGTCATCACGAATGTGTTTTTTTCATCTTTTATGATGATATTTTTTGTTTTTTTTAATAGTGGTTTTTCTTTAATGTGGTTTTATTCATTTAATTAGTAAGGTTTTTTTTGTCATTCCGCAGTGGTTTTTCTGGATTTTTAAGTTTTTTTGGTGACCTCTAGTTCCTTTTGGAGTGTTCTTCTGATAATTTTTGAAGATTCTTGGGTACTTCTGACAACTTTTTGGAGGTTCTTTCTGGATTCTTGATACTTCCAGCATTATTTGGCAGCTTTTGTAAGTTTTTTTGCGGACTTTGGATTCTTAGTACTTTAGGCATTTTTTGGAAGTTCTTCTAACGACTTTTGTAAGTTCTTTCTGGAATCTTGATACTTCTGGCATTTTTTGGTGGCTTTTTTGAAGGTTCCTCTGATGACCTTGTGGTGTTTCTTTCTGGATTTATAATACTTCCGGCATTTTTTGGTGACTTTTGAATGTTCTTCTGACGACTTTTTGGTTTTTTTTTCTGGATTCTTGGTACTTTGGTATTTTTGGCATTTTTTGGAGGTCCTTCTGATGACTTTTAGAGATTCTTGATATTTCCAGCATTATTTGGCAGCTTTTGGAAGTTCTTCTGCTAACTTTTGGTATTTCTTTCTGGATTCTTAGTACTTCTGGTATTTTTTGGTATTTTTTGGAAGTTCTTCTGGTAACTTTTGGGAATTCTTAGTACTTCCAGCATTTTTTTGGCAGCTTTTGGCAGCTTTTGGAGGTTCTTCTGATGATCTTTTAGTGTTTTTTTCTGGATTCATAGTACTTCTAGCATTTTTTGATAACTTTTGGAGATTCTTCTGATGACTTTTTGGTGTTTTTTCTGGATTTTTAGTACTTTAGCATTTTTTGGCAATTTTTGGAGGTTCTTCTGACGACTTTTAGGGATTCTTGGTATTTCCAGCATTATTTGGCAGCTTTCGGAAGTTCTTTTGCCAACTTTTTGGTGTTTCTTTCTGGATTCTTAGTACTTCTAGCATTTTTTGATATTTTTTAGAAGTTATTCTAATGACTTTTAGAAGTTATTTCTGGATTTTTGGTACTTCTGGCATTTTTTGGCGGCTTTTGGAGGTTCCTCTAATGACCTTTTGGTGTTTCTTTCTGGATTCATAGTATTTTAGGCGTTTTTTAGTAACTTTTTGGAGGTTCTTCTGATGACTTTTTGGTATTTTTTTCTGGATTCTTAGTTCTTCAGCGTTTTTTGACATTTTTTGAAGGTTTTTCTGATAACTTTTAGAGGTTTTTCTGATTCTTGGTACTTTCAGCATTTTTTGGTAAATTTAAAGGTTCTTCTAATGGCTTTTTGGTAGTTTTTTCTGGATTCTTGGTACTTCTGGCATTTTTTAACATTTTTTTGGAGGTTTTTCTGATAACTTTTAGTGTTTCTTTCTAGATTCTCAGCATTTTTTGGCGAATTTTAAAGGTTCTACTGACAACTTTTTGGTATTTATTCTGGATATTTGGTACTTCTAGCAGCTTTTGAAGGTTCTTCTGATGACTTTTTGGAGGTTCGTTCTGGATTCTTTGTATTTCTAGCATTATTTGGAAGGTCTTCTGATGACTTTTGGTGTTTTTTTCTGGATTCTTGGTACTTCCAGTATTTTTTGGCAATTCTTTTGATAACTTTCTTGGTGTTTTTTCCTGAATTATTGGTACTTCCGGCATTTTTTTTGGTGAATTTTAGATATTTTTGGGGTTATTTCTCAAGATTCTTTCTGAATTCTTAAACTTCTGGCATTTTTTGGCAAATTTTGGAGGTTTTTCTGTCGATTTTTTGGTGATTTTTTTGGATTCTTGAGACTTTTGGCAATTTTTGACGGCTTTTGAAGATAGGTGTTTCTTTCTGGATTCTTGGCACTTCTAGGTTTTTTTGGCAATTTTTAGGGTTTTTTCTGATGACTTTTGGAAGTTCTTGATACTTTTAGCATTTTTTGGTGGCTTTTTAAAGTTCTTCTGATGATTTTTTGGTGTTTCTTTCTGAATTCTCAGTACTTTTAGCATTTTTTGGTAGATTTTGGATATTCTTGGAGGTTTTTTCTAGATTCTTGGTACCTTCAGCATTTTTTGGCGAATTTTGGAGGTTCTTCTGATGACTTTTTGGTGGTTCTTTCTGGATTCATAGTTTTTTTGGTATTTTTTGGTGGCTTCTGGAGGTTCTTCTGACAACTTTTAGAGGTTCTTTCTCTATTCTTGGTACTTCTGGCTATTTTTTGCAGATGAAACTTAGAGGTTTTTTTACAGACAAAAGTTGAAAACTAGTTTTGATTTTTGTTAAAAAAAAATTAAAATGGCAAACTGGTAAAACTCTGTGAAACTGTAGCAAAACTAAAAAAGATAAAATTAATAAAAAAGTAAGAATAAAAAGATAAATAAAGATAAATAAATTTTTTTTATATAATAAATATTTTTATTTCTATATATATATAATATATTATATATTATATCTATTACAATATATAGATTTTTTATAATAAAAATTTTTAATAATTAGTAATTTTATTATAGATTAAATATAATATAAATAATTTTTATATTTATTTATAAATTAAATAGAATTATTTTATAGATTATCTCTTTTTATCTAAGATATTTTTTAAAATACATATTTGAGAATAATAAGAAAATTATATTTATAAGGATCAAAGTATATATTTGAATAAGAATCTGTACATATACTTGAAAAGTGTGTATTTATAAAGTTATACTTAGAGAGGTTTAACTACATAAATAATTTATATAATTTAAATAATAGATAAAGTTTTTAATTAAAAATTTAGTTACTTTGATATTTTAATAAAATAAATTAAAATTATTTTATTAAATTTTAAAAAAATAAAAAATAAAAAATAACTTTTAATTTAATTGGTTTATCATGATTTTATCATGTTTTACAAAAATTACAAGTTGCTTTATATTTTTCTTTTTCTTTAGTTATATTTAAATAAATTAGTTAAATCAAATATAGTAATTATAAATTAGAGTCAAATTATATTTTTAAAAAGATAAAATTTAGAAAATAAATAACTATAATAAAAACTATATTCATAAATATTACTACCTAAATAATCTACCTATAATAACCAGATTTGGATTTCAAAATAAATATATTTACTAATTCTTATTTAGACTTTTATCTAATCTAATATTTAATTTTAACTAATACAGATTTAATTCAAAATACAATATATGCATAATTATACTAAGTATTATATATGATACTTTTTAATAGGGATATTATCCTGCTTGCCTAAACTCAGTTCAGCTCTTGTTTGGGCCTAAACTCAGTTCAGCTCTTGTTTGGGCCTAAACTCAATAGAACTCAAATTTTGTGATCATATAATTTTCATTATTAAATTTAAACTTCTTCTGCTCAAACCAAGTTTGAAATCGATCAAATGAGCAAAATGCTTATGATTTTTAATTAATAGACTTTTAATTGCTATCATAATAATGAACAAAAATCAGTTGCCTAATTTTTTTAAATTAAAATTAATTTATTGTGGTATAATAGCAATAAATACTACCTAAAGGCTTGGGATAATGATGGTCAGACCCAATGTACAGGGCAGACTACAAGTTCTTTAGAAACCGTGAGAACCGGGTATACGGTGAGCAACTATGTAAAAGATACTAATCTGACAAGTTTGCAACCAACATCTTTAGAATCCTGCAACTTGTCCACATGCTACAAC